ATTGTTACAAATGAATTTTTTTATTCAATTTTAAAACATAACCCATATATATATATATATATATATATATATATATATATATATATATATATATATACTTACATATGTTTTTACATCCAACAGCAAACACACTTTCAAACAATATGAATAGTTCTGTGGGCTAAATTTCTTCTTCTTTATCCGATGATGATGAGTTGGTTTTGCACATATTGTTGTCCGCGACACTCGACATGGTGCATCAAAGAGGCGAAAGTTCAAATGTCGAGAAGAAGCGTAAAATTTTGATCAACCGGGATCATATCGCGGCACACAAACTTTTGGTACGTAATTACTTTGCCCCTGATAGTTTATACGACCTATCGAAATTTGAAGATCATTTTCGTATTAATAGAAATTTATTTTTACGTATAGCTAGAGATTTGACAAACAATTATGAGTTTTTTTCAATTGAAATGGATGCTAGAGGTAAACGTGGTTTTAGTACAATACGAAAATGCACAATAGCTCTTAGACAATTGGCATACGGTATAGCCGCAGACGTGTCGGATGAGAATTTGAAAATGTATGAGAGGACGGGTCAAGAATGTGCCTATCTTTTTTGTGAGTATGTTATAGAGTTTTACGGTGACATATACTTGCGACATCTGACTAGGAGTGATGTTGAACAGTTGTATGCCGCACATGAAGCTAAACATAGTTTTCCAGAAATGCTTGGTAGCCTTGATTGTACATATTGGGAGTGGGAAAATTGTGTGAATGCATGGCGATGTCAATTCACACGAGGTGATCATGGTGTGACGAATGTTATAGTAGAGGGAGTTGTTTCACATGAACTATGATTTTGGCATGCACTCTTTGGTATGACGGGGTCAAACAACGACCTAAATGTGCTTGGAGCTTCTACGCTATTTAATGACATTTTACAGGGTAAAGCACAAAACATGTCATACCTTGTGAATGTACATCAATATAATTATGGGTATTACCTTGATGATTTGATATATCCAGAGTACGCTACGTTTGTCAAGTCATACTCATATCCAGCCGATAAAAAACGAAAATTGTTCAAGCTAGCACAAGAATCGACAAGGAAGGATGTGAAACGGACGTTTGAGGTCCTCAAACAAAAGTGACACATAATCAAACATCCGACACGAGCATGCGACGTGGCAAAATTGACGAAGGTATTGATAACTTGTGTTATTTTACATAACATGATAATAGAAGAAGAAGGTAAGGCAATTTGTATGTATAGTCCGGACGACATACTTCATCCACCTGCAGTAATACAAGTTGGCAACCCGACATACTTCACAAGACTATTGAAAATACAAAGTAGTGAAACACATTATAATTTACGCCACAATTTGACTAAACACATATGGCAAAGACAATCTCAACAACACAATGACGACGACGACGAGGAGAATGAGGCTGACGACGATGAGTACGACAACGACGAAAAATAGTATATTCTATGTTTTTTATTTGTTTTTAGTAATTTAGGTTTTAAAATTTTATGTTTTTAAGTAATTTAGGATTTAAATTTGTGTGTTTTTAGTTAATATAATGTGTTTTTAATTAATATTTATGTTTTATTTTTGTTTAATAATTATTTTTTAATTTATTCTAATGTAAAAAATAAAAAAATTAAAAAGATAAATACAAAAGAGTGGTAACCATTTCCAATTACTAATAGTTTGGTGGTAGACAAACTAACGTGACATATAGGTGGCAATACTTTTCTAGTGGATTAGTGGTGAGGCTCAAGCCCTTTAGGATTTAGGCTATGTTTGACGAATTAGCTGAAAAACTAGTTGTTAGCTGAAAAGCTAGCGGATAGCTGAAAAACTAGCTGTTAAATAAAAAGCTAGCTGATAGTTGAACAGCTAGCTAATAAAAAATAACGTTTGGTAAAACTAGTTGAAATATATAAAATGACATAAAATGACATTTTAAATGAATGTGTTTCTACAATTAATTAGGGGTATTTTTGGAAAAAATTTAAAAAGCTCTCAAAAAACTAGTCTAAGTAACTTTTTAAAAAACTAACTTATAAGCAACTTTTTGGCTTACCAAATACGACAATAAAAACTCGAAAAATAAGTTAGCTTATCAGCTAGTTGTGCCGCGCCAAACATAACCTTAGATTAGATCTCTTAACTATTTATATGAGGTTAAACCTCACTATTTATTAATCAAACAATTTATTATTTTACAGACAAAAACAACTTCAATCAACAAAAACAAAACTTTAATCTATCATTAATAAAAACAAATAAAAACATCATGCTTAAGCTCGAGCACCGAAGTACATTCCTCTGCTACCTAAATTGATAAACAAGGCTTCAATCAACCATTAATAGTTCTTAAATTATCGACTAATTTACTATCACTCAAATTTCATAGATTGTGTCTTGGAATTCAGATCAACAGTAGCAAATGAGCATTGTTACAAAGAGGAGCGTGTCTAGCTTTATGAGCGTTGCAAAATCTATCACTAATCAAAATCAGTTCAACTTACCTTATGGGAAAAAACAATCCACAGTTGCTGAAAATTTCAGCGTTTCTTGTTCTAAACTTTGTTCTTCAATTAGTTTCTTGATCAATCAATACTCATGAAAGGAAGGACGACAACGGGGAGACCAATGAATCAAACCCAAATAACGAAGGCAATTTAAAAAAGTCGATTCACAGTGGTGGGAGGCGTCGATGAGTTTTCTTTGCCCCAAAAGCTCGATTAATAATGTCGGGAGGTGACGATGGCTGCATGGAAAGAGGAGGGCGGCGCTAGCGACAAATAAGGAAGAAAGAGGGTGGCGATGGAGGTTTCATGGCACCAATCACAGGTTTGGAAGAAGCGAGGTGTGAAGAAGAAAGCGGGATTACAGAAAGAGGCGACATGTGTCAAGTTTTCATTCAGCCAAGGAGAGATTCAGACGTTAGTTGGGCGATTCAGAGGCACAAATACAATGAACTAAGGTCCCGTTTGATAGATACTGACTGAGAAAGGTCTGTCTAGGTAATAAAATTTGACTGAGTAAGAAACCATGCTGTTTGATTGTACATCTGACTAAATGTGCCGACTAATGAAAAATGACAATTTTACCCTGATGTTCTATACAATAATGAATGAAATTGCTAACTAATTATAAAAACATACAAATTGACATTCAAAATGTAAATTAAACGTAAATCATAATTAGAAAAATAAAAAAACATTTTCATAATAAGTGCAATGATATATTTGAGAGAGTTTATCATCTTTATTATCCTTTATAATTTAGTTTTATTTTTATATAGTTATAAAAAATAATATATTTTTTTTTATTATAATCTAATTTTTTTGAGAGAAAATAAAACATAATAATGATATTTTAAAATATAACATATGAAACAAAATATATTATTTTGAAAAATTTTTATTACTATATTCATTTTAATAGTACTAAAGGACCTTTATGAGTCGGTGGTATAAAATTTAGCTCTGAAAACTTCAAATAAAAAAGCCCAAATAATGCTTACAAGCCCAAACACCATTTAACCTACTTGCTCTTTTACATATCTTTATTTTTAACAATTTATTTTGAACAATCCGCCGTCACATTTTCTTCGTAAACTTTCATTCGTTGAAGCACATACTCTCAAGATATCGCATACAAAAAACGACAGAGATATGCCAAGCCACACCCGTTTTATACAACATTACAGACAAGAAATGATAGAGCTACACAAGAAACATTCGTCGGGTATGGAGGCACTGAAAGAAGAGAGGTAGGACAAGGGCATAAGTGGAATACGCTTCTCCCTTTCTCGGTCAGCCAATTGCTCTCTTCTAACCGAGTCAGATTTCACTTTCCAAGTCAGATGCTCAAAATTGATTTACCAAACAGCTTTTAACTGACCGAGTTAGACAAAAATGTCTGACCTGACTCGGTCAGATGAATATCAAACAGAGCCTAAATCGTTTTGAATCGACTAATTAAGAGCTGATATCCGAATAGAACCATTAAAAAAAACACCCCTAACCTTATATAAAAGAGTAAATTATACGAATGGTCCCTATGGTTTGGGTTAATTTGTGTGTTTGGTCCCTAACTTATTTTTTTTAATTCGGAAAATCACTACTGTTTGTTTTTGTTACGCGCTTGGTTCATATATTACCTAAAAAAATTATTATTTAAATAGGAAAAAATGGTGGGTAGGTAAGGTAAGGTGATGGTTGGGGTTGGGGGTGTGTTTATTTAAATAAATTAAAAAATCAAGGTCAAAATAGTTTTTTTAGGTAAAACAGGGACCAAACGCGTAACAAAAACAAACAGTAGGGACCTTCCGAGTTAAAAAAATAAGTTAGGGACCAAACACACAAATTATCTAAACCTTAGAAGGGAGCTGAACCATTTATCTCTATGAAATTCTTTGGCAGAGGGACTCTAAAGTGGAACCATTGGTGTAATTTACTCTGTTTAAAAACTTTTCAACCACTAAACTAACTTTATTATACATTAGTTTAATTAGATTTGAATAATTTAAATTATTATTATATCCCTCATTCCATATTATAATGCCAATTGCCAAATACATCATCTCGTAAAACACACACATACAAACACACAATTACACAATTTTGCGGCGTTGTCTCGTTTACTTGGATTATTTTAACTTACATAACAAAAAAAAAAGTTCAAAACAAATTATCATACAATGATTTTAATTAGGGATCCAAATACCAGGGGAATTTTATACGTGAAACACCTCGAAATTGTAGTAGAGAACAATTTCAACAAGATTCAAGAACACAAACATAATTCACTAGAACACAATCTATGATTCAAATTCTACATACGAATAATTTATTATATAAATATTCTTTCATCAATCTCTAAATGACATAAACATACATACAAATCTATATACCCAAACAAGAAAAATGACCCACAAACATTCAAGACCAATAAACTTTGCAAAATCAAGAAAAGTTCAAGATTTTGAGATAGAAATCACCTCTTTTTTCTGCGGTTTTGGGTAGAAGGTTTGTTTTTTACAGGCTTACCAAACATGGTGCAGATGGCACCACAACCAGAGAGCCTTGGTGAAGGTGGGTCAATTGTGGGTGCAACATCCATGGTTTTATAGGGTCTTGGCTCTACTCTTTGTGGCTCTTTTTTCTCCTTTTCTTCTTCTTTTGGCTTAAAAAGCTCTCCTGATAACAACTTATCATCCCATACTAGCCCCGATGAACCTGATCTTTTATATGACACATCTGACCTTGCTAATCCAGCCATCTATGATCTATATCTCTCTCTGAAACGGGGTTTTGATCTTGAGAGAGAAAGAGATAGAGATAGAGATAGAGAGAGAAAGAAAGTCAAGGGCACAAATATGGCTGTCTTTACTTGTTTTATGGAGAGGGGGAGGGGGGTAAAAGACAAATGAAGCATAAAGAGAGGGTAATTACGGTCAGAAGATGGCATCGACAAGAGGCTTGAAATTACAATAATATCCTTGCGTTCTTGGGATTTCAGAATTTAATAAGCAAAGTTGCGTCACAAAGGCGGTTTTCAAAGTTGCCAGTTGCCCGTTGCCACCTAAAGTCAAACCAGAACGGCGAAGAAATAAGTACGTTGTTATTTAATAATAAGACAAATTTTTATAAATTACCCATGTGTTTTCTAAAAAGTGGTATGTTGAGGATTTTTTTTATAAACGCTTCAGATAGGCCTATGTAGTTTCCAAACAATTATATGGTTGCTAATTTTTCCTAACACCGTTTGGAATTTTCTGTTTAAATCGACTATAAAATTTTCTTTTTGCCAATGAACCAAAGTTGATATATATATATATATATATATATATATATATATATATATATATATATATATTAGGTGTAAGAACATGTATTACATTTTAAAGAAAAAAATGAAATTCTAAACATTTGAAAAGTTTGAATTTATAAGAATATATATATATATATTGAATTATAAAAATTAAATTGTTTGTTTTTTTTTAATTAAACAAATAATTTAGATAAATAAAGAAAGGAAACTAATGAAACTTTAATTTAGAAAATTTGAAATTAGAAGGAACTCAATTAATGAAATTGATATGTATTTATTATTACATTTAAATATTATGTGGAAATTAATAAAATGAAAAAAAAAAAACACAAAATATCATGTGGAAAAAAATTAATTGAAAATAACGACAAAATTGCATGTAGATAATGAGAGTGTGACATGTGGCAAAAAGTTCTTTATTTATTAGGGAGTATATATAAGGTTCAAATGATTCTAACAACTATTGTGTTCCTCAATGCACCAATCAAAAATTAGCAAATATTAAATAATTATTAAATTGTTAAATGGTATAATAGTAATCTTTACCATATTTAATTTTAGTAATTATTAATATCCATTTATTTTAGGAGTCAATTTCTTATTTACCCTATTAAAACTCACGTTCACCAAACGTCTGCAAACACTTCTGCCGACCAAAGAGGCCGCTTGAACCACTTGCTGCCATCGCCACCTACACCATCCTTGGAGAAATCTTCACTTGGAAAGGGATTTGTTTTCATTCATCATGTAATAGATATATGGTTCGGCACTCATCAACGAAGGTAAGCTCTAATTTCAACTTTTTTCTATTGTGAAGACTACATACCATTGTTGTCGACAATTGAAATTAAATTACTTTATTGTTGTCGGCAATTGAAATTAAATTATTTTTTTGATGCTACGTTGTATAAACAATCATACGAAAGGCAATGAATAAACAATAAACATGTCGTTCCAATAAAAATAAATTAGATTGCTTCCAGATTATTTGAAAAATCATCTCCTAAACATAAAAATTTTCTTTTATACGACAAACATTTTGTAAAAAATATCATTTTTTTATTTGCGAAGATATGCTATGCGGGTACAATGGTTGTAAAACCCACTTTAACATCATAAAAAAAGTCTCATGTTTGAATTATTATAATATCTCCACTCAGCCACCCAATGTTTCATTAAGTTGCAATCTGATTTTATGTTTATTCCATCTAAATCGCTATTTTTTTTATTTGTTTGTTGTTTTTGTTTATTTATCTTAATTTTATAATCTGTGTGTATAAATAATCAAGTGGGTTTGGTGTTAAAAACTTATTGCTAAACAACAAATTTAAGTAATATTTATATTCATATGTTGCACGAAAGGTGTTTGTGGAAATGCCTAAGAGAGAATCTGATCAAGTCAGATATGGTTGAAGAAGTTCTTGCTATGTCAATTTCATATGTGATCAAGTCGGATACGGTTGAAGAAGTTCATGCTATTTCAATTTTGTAGTCCTTTTTCTCTTTAGATTGTTAGGTTATTTTAATGCCTCTTAATGTCGATCATTCTTTATATTTAGATCATTGAAACAACGATAGATATCAAAGCAAAACAGGGTACATATGTACCTTACAACATTCTGCTAGAATGGAATATCGAATTCTAATTTTGTCATAATAGAATCTTGAATTCCAAGTCAACTTAAGCAGTGAATTACCAAACACACCACATAATGGAATCCCGTAACCAATTCTGTCATAAAAGAATTGGTATCCATTCTTGTTATCGGTCTCGATTCTTATAGAATGACATCCTAAATAATGAAACATTACATTCTTTCAGAATAAATTACATTGCAAGTTTAGGGATGATTGTTGATGTTGGTTTGTAGAAATTATAGTTATATTTTATTTGAATGTATACCACATTCTATCGGAATTTATTGTTTTATTCTATTTAATGTACTAAATTTTTTAATATTTGAAAGTTGATTATGTTTTCTTTGTGAATTTAGGTTTTGAAGAGGTTGTCATTAATGTGGAAATGAATAAAACATGGAGAACAATAGTGCATTCTAGCAGAATGTATTCTGTCAGAATTTATAAATTGTTTCTTAACAATAATATTCTTTCAGAATTGATTAGTGTTTTTTTTAGATTTTTTATTTTTTTTCCTTTTTAAACCATTTTTAGTTTTAATCTTTAAGAATAAATGTAATCCTTAAACCATTATTTGTCATAATTTTTTTAGAATAAATGTAATAATTGTTTTTAGTCTTATTCTTTACGGATGAATGTAAATAGTGATTCTTAAAGAATAAAATTTGTATTCTTTAGAAAATATTATTCTTAATAATATGTTGTATAATTCTTTAAACATGTTTAATATAAAATGTATCTTGAATGAAACCATATTATACAAGAATAAAACCGCAAATATATTTACTAGTTTATTGTTGACTTTTTGTCATTCTGACAGAATAAAATCGTTTATTATTAAAAATAATATTAAAACTTAATTAGAATTAATTTAAAAAATTCAAAATTTTAAAAATAAGGGAATTAATGATCCCTTAAAATCCGAAAATTTCCTTTTTTAAAATAGGTTAATTGACCAAAATATCATTTTGCTAAAATTTGTGTGATTATATGATACATGCTACCCTATTGTAATATCATAGACCATCAGATCATGACTATTGATTCTATTCATCCGGTGGTCCAGATCTGTGCATTCTGGCACAGAATAGTTAGTAAAACCAAAATAACCAAAGCCTATATATATATATATATATATATATATATATATATATATATATATATATATATATATCCCTATCTCCCTATTCTAATAAAAGAATAGTTTTAATCTCCTTTTGACATGTGTCATTCTATTAGGTCTCCTAATTAATGCATATTTTATTCTTCTTTTGACATGTGTCATCCTATTAAGCATCCTAATTAATGCATGTCATTTGTCAACCTATTAATTCTCAATTTCAAATTTCAAAATTTAAATTTCTCACTCTAATTGCATTAATTTAATAACATTTGAATAAAAATTAAAATAAAATTAATACAAATTATAAGGTGATATAATTTTACATATTTATTTAAATTAACGATTATAATTTTATATAACTAAAAAAATATCTCTTAATTAATAATTTATTTAAAATAATTGATTAATAATTTTGAGTTCTCGCTATTAAAGTTTAATTAAATTTTTATAACCGTGATTTTCACGGGTTATAGACTAATATATATATATATATATATATATATATATATATATACACACACACACACACACACACACACACACACACACACTTGAGGGACCATTTCTAAAAATTCTAAATAAAACCTCATCCTCCACCACCACTGGTATCATTTTCGTATGAAACCACCCGACCATCACCTCACATATTCTCCTCTACTTATTTAAGGAGACAATGACGAAGGGAGGTTGTGATGGTTGGCGAATGTCTCACCCAAAATCGATTTTCGTCTTCATCTTATAAATCCTTAAAACATGTAAATAGATATTCATGTTTTCACCTTTTTCAATTGCAAACACAAAATCTTCTTTTAAATTATCATCATCTCATTCGTAACTCATACCAAGAATATCTTCACTTTCCAAAAATGATTCAATCCATCTAGGTTTATTAAATATATAAGAAATGGATTTTATGTAAGTAAACATGTCATCGATTTTCTGGATTAATTTAGAACAAAAAAAAAACTCAACTGATGTTTTATTATTAAACTAGTTGTGATACACGTATATTATACGAGTTGATTAAAACAAAATGTTAAATACAAATGATTAAATGGAAAGTTTATTTAATTTGAAATTTGAAATAAGTAAAATTATGAAAAAAAAAACATGAAAAAATTAAATTAAAATTATGTGTTTAGTTGTCAGTCCCGTGTATTAAAATGTTAATTATAACACAATGTTAAATACGAAGGTTTCACTTGTAAATTTATTTAGAATTAAAATTGAAGTTTTAAATTCGAAATTTAAAATTTGAAACCAATATAGTTATTATGGTATCTTTAATTTATGGAAACTAAATTAATGATATATTAAAAAATGAAAGATGAATTAAATGACAAGTGGAAAATAAATATATCAAAATTATGACAAAATGACATGTGACATAATGCATGAGAGAATGACATGTGACAAAATTATTTTTATTTATTAGGTAGGATACATACTTCGTAGTATCTTGAGTAAATTACACGAATGGTCCCTATGGTTTGGGGTAATTTGCGCGCTTGATCCCTAATTTATTTTTTTAACTCGGAAGGTCCCTACTGTTTGTTTTTGTTACGCGCTTGGTCCCTAATGTTTGTTTTTGTTACACGCTTGGTCCCTGTCTTATCTAAAATGACTATTATTTAAATATGAAAAATGGTGGGGTATGTAAGATAAGGTGAGAGAGTGGGATTGGGGG